TTAAAAGTACTTTGTAAAACTATTTTTGACCAGTGGAATATATAAATGTCGAATCTTTCTTAGTATTGAAAAAGGCAATGTCTGACAAACTTTCTTATCCAATACTATTTCTTAGGCAAGTTTTTAATTTTCATATTTTTTGTGGTATGGCAATTGCCACCAATTGCCCTCTGGTGGCCCGCCAATGGACACTAGCGCTGTGCATATGTGGGTTATTTTTCGAATAATATTGTACAAACCAATCGAATAGTATCAAGCATGACAAAGACATGATCTAATTATAAAGGACGTTATGAATATATCTTGACGCTTCATTCCACGATGTGTATCTCTCAGGTTAGTTTATAAATAACATTTTTTTTAGATAGTGTTAATTGTTTACATTAATCGCGTGTTGAATGATGTCCAAGGTATTGGAGACTAGTGATGAACAGGATAAGAAAGACATGAGAAAAGTCCCATTAAATTTTCTTTTCTTAGAATAAGCCGGTCAAAGATCCAGCAAAGGACATCAATCACTTAAAGCTCGAAAATACACGTTTAACAAATGAACTTGAAGCATTGAAAATGGAAATGGAATCAATGAGAAAGACAATTGATGCTTTCATCGTTGACATGAATACACAAGCCGATGTTAAACTCAAATTAGAACAGGAAGTGGAAGACTTGAAAAAAGAATTAGTTGATGCTCGTGAACATCGATTTACAGACGATGATTCTATCAATCCAGGATCCCAATGCAACAAATAAAAATTCCTTTAACCATAGCTAAATCGAGGTTGCCAAAAACCTTTCCTTTCACGATGAAAATCTATTGAAATATGGTAGTAACCCTGTTTTTTACGCGATTATTTGTTACCTTTTGGTAAACTTGATATTTTTTTCGTGTGTTGATACAAGTGTTCATTTTTCCTGCGCTGATACGATTGTTCATTTTTTCTGCTTCTGTGTTACATACTGTACCATAAAACAAATATGAGCAAAAAATAAAGGAAACAATAGATGAAATATGCATGATAATGCGGAACTTTAATCATTATACGTACAAAACGTTCTCATGCGATCAAAGAAAGATTCAATCAATGTATTTTGGCGATTTTAAATAATTCATAAATATAGAAATGAACTGAATTTAGATCTTGTATCCATAGTCAACGTTAGATTGATATGCAGCTTCATCGAATCTCTTTCCCTCATGAACGATTAGTTTCAATTCAATTGATGCCAAGGACACTGCTGGATATAGACATAAGTCTGCCACCCCGTAGTTTTGAAAGTCAATACTCTTGAAAGATAGAAATTGAAACTCTGCACGATTCCGTATATTTCTTTTACTTTTAGTTGAGTGAAAAAAAACGTTTTTAAGGCGGACTTGTCAATGGATAAATATCTTTTTCTCTGAATTTAGGGCGATTGATATGCGCTCTGTGTTTTTTCATTCGTGTATTCAATATGAAAACTAATAGTGTAGATCGACAAAGCTTTTCAAGCTCTACAAAGTCATATACTGATCAAGTTTATGAGTAACTTCTGTAACATAGATCATATCATATAGGTCAAGTATACCGAAAAATTATCATTCGTATACTGAATAAGTTATTCTTTTTGATTTATGTGGGTTATTGTTTTATTGAAAAATAAGAAGGGGGCAAAAAAGCTTTATGATCAAAAACTACACTAAATCGCGCTCCATAAATTTATATTGCTTACAGAAAATTATACATTGTTCTGATGCAAATTTTCTTCGAATCATTGTAGAGTAGTGCCGTCTTTCGAGTAAAAAAATATCGGATTTCGACAACGTTCATCGTGAATCCTACTCTAATTTCGAGTTNAAATATTAAGGACACGTACATTAAGTTTTCAATTCCGAAACGAAAGAAAGAATAAAAAATTGGCTGATACTAGAGCACACGTCGGATCAGAAAAGATTGACCCGTATCATGCAATGAACTGAATAGACATATGTATTAATGTCATGAACTCCCAATAGAATAATCATTTATGGCTATCTCTCTCCCTGATGTTGTTTTTAGAAGATCGTTCTAAGTTGAGTAATGAACAGAGAAGCGTAACATGAGTATCATTAAACAAAACATGTGGCACACACAATGATTTACCATTTAATATGTAACGATTCTATTGCTATCCGTTCAAGTTCAATAAGCAAAAAACATAAAATTCAAGCATATATTGAGAGCATTTTTTGTAAATAATTAAAAATCCCAAAGGAACTGCGTATGAAAATGTCTTTATATATAGAAAATAAAGAATGAACGACGGAGAAAATGAAATTTCATGTTAGTAAGACGCCTATACATATATAGACACTTCGAAAGTAGAATAGTTATGTGTAAGTCAATTCAGCACATAAAGCACAAGGAGAAAAAGAACACTTTATAAGACAAACAACAAGAAAAGAAAATAAATAATCTTATATATTTTATAGTTTCTATTATATTGGAACGTGGATTTAATTTAATTTTAAAATTTTATTGCATTTTAGATCTTTCTAATTTCGTATTAACAATCTCGTCTTCGCTATCTAACGCTTGTAATGCTTGATCAGCAATTGATGTTGGAATATTATCTTCAGCCCATGTCAAAGCATCTTCAATAGCATCGTTACCATTTGAGCCTGCAGCTCCACTAGATGATACATTTGCTTCACGATTCATAGATGCTTGCTGCTGTCGTTTGCTTTTTGATGCTGCACCATTTTCAATATTTGTTGCTTTACGCATCGTTATCGAATCAAATACAGCCGTTTCTACGCAAAAGAAAAATACAATCAATGATAATATCTTATGATCTAAATTTTTTGGATATAAGTATACAATTAAAAATTTTTACTTGAAAGAAAAACGAAATTACAGTATCTATACACGTTATTGAAAGGATTTAACTTACCTCCTTGGTCTGCGTCATCATCAAAATCGTCATTGTCATTGTCTGATTGATCAAGTAAAGGTACAAAAGCATAACGTTGATTATTATTTGATGGTCGAAATAGAAACATAATAACAAGAAGAACTAATGAAAATAATATGTGCCAGAATGCATCATCGACCTAGATAGAATTATTTCATTTAAGAAAAACAAAAATAAGCAAAGAAAAAAATATTTTTACCCAAAATTCTCTCCAATTTGTAATACATGTAGTAAAAAAATGTGATTTTAATGACCAAATCATAAATACTAAACTTGCTAGAATAGCGAATATCAGTGTGTTAGTAAAATGTCGGTAAACATTTAATTTAACAATATTTTTTCTTAAACGTAATGTTCGTGTTGTTGTAACTAAGCCCGTGAATATCCAATAATAAATAGTTGCATCAATAACAGCCAATGGTATACGTGATATTAATACTTTGTTGTTTGTTTCATCATTTGTAGTATTCAAACGAAGTATGGCTTCTGTTGTAGCAATTGCAAAATAAAGAAGACCCATAGCAAATACCTTTTGTTTTAATGGTCCTAATCGTGGTTTAACTACACCGTATCCGAGTGCAACAATAATGACAAGCATACGTGATACTGTACGTTTTAAGCATGAAAGTACTTCAGCTGTAACAATAGCTACATGAACTTTATATCTAAATTAAAAAAACCTCCTATTTTATATTATTCTAATTCATTTGGATTTTATTTTTCATTATTTACCCATGTCGATTAACTGTATCATATTCCGCTAAAAACGCTGATTTTTCAATCATACCAATCAGAATAACTCCACCGATCCAAAATTGTATTTTAAGTAATTCACGCCAATATAATGCACACCACACAAACCATAAAATAGCAAATAAACCATAGATGCCACACATAATGCCATAAAAAACTAATGCTGGATATTCATCCGCTGTTATATAACCACCATGACGATTCTTCATCGATACGATTACGTCAACATCAAGTCCGGTAAGATCTGAATCAAGAATAGCTGGTCGATAAATTTCAATAAGATAATAACCATCAGTCCATGTTTGTAATCTTTTCTCTGACCGTTGATTATCAACAGGTGCTGTTGAAGATTGTTTATTAGTTAATTTTATATTTGTTTTTTCAGCAGCACGACGACGACGACGAGGAGGTATGTAGTTTTCTGAAATACTCAATTGAAAATTTATTGAAAAAGAAATATTCAATTTTACTTTGATTTGCAGTTAGTTGTTCACGTTCTTGTTTAAGCATAGTTTTTCTTTTTTCTGGTGAAATTTCTGGTCCAGTTATATTTTTATATTGGTCAACATATAATGCTCCCGAATCATCACAATTAGTTTCTTGCATTATAAACTCTCTGATCTCCATTTGTTTCCATAAATTACTATAGACTTCTTCTGACATACCTCGTGACTCTTTGTTGTCTTTTGATGATAATTGATTTGTAGTCATCAATGTATCAGATTGTAATGGTAAACATCCGACAACACGACCAATACGACCCGTTATTTTAATTTTAGTTTTTTCGTGATCTTTATCTGAAGGTTTTCTCATTTGACCTTGAGTTTCATTTAGATTTGTTGACGATTCTGGACAAAAAAGTTTTAATGCTATTTGTGTATCACCAGTTAGAAAACGATCTACAACTGGAGATATCCCACGAGATGACCATGATAATGTTACTATTGAATCAACAAGAGTAGCCGATGAATAATTCACCAAGCAAAAGAATAATAAATATACGAGAAAATAACTTTTCATTATTGTAAATCTGAAAAACAAAATTTTAAAATAAACGATCTATCTTATTTTTCATAATATGTGCCGTTTTTCTCTTCGGATGAATGAGTAAGTAAGTAAAGAAGGAAGAGTATTGCATGAGCATTATTCTCATTAATTGGTCATTCAATCATTTAAAACATGTAAAACAAATTCAACTATTATGTAACAGATTTTATTGAAATAGAAGAAAATTAATTTAGATTATATTCTAAACATAATTATGTCAGTCTGATAATAACTTTGTATGAAGAAGGCCACTCTATTGTATTTGATTTGTCAATTTCAATGGACCAATAACAGAATGATAACGATATGAATGGTTGTCGTCGTTGTTATTATTTATTTATTTTTAACTACCTTCACATTTTAACTAAATAATGCTATAGCTTTAAATTATAGATATATATCACAATAAAATTTTAATTGAAAAAAATCAGGATGAGTGGCTTTGTTGTTCGTCATGCAAAATTAACTCAACTACAAGCAGCATTATTGATTCGACAGCAATGGAGAAAAGAAGCTTAAATATCATCGAGTGTTAATCTTGTTCATAGTAGTGCATTAGTACTAAATAATATGAAATCACCTGCATCATATTAGATGGTGATTGAATGCGAATGCATCCATGTATTGGTAATCGTGACATAGTTGGTTACGATCTGAAAGGAAAACGAGAATATTTTGATTTGATTATGTTTCCTTGTCCAAGTATTTGTTAGAAAGCTAATACAACTGCTTTAGCAGAATTAAGGAAAAAAAGGAAATGGTAATTATCAACAATTATCAGTTGAAGAAAAGGAAAGATGTCAGTAAAATTGTATTGTTCTGTGTTTATTTGACGTATTTTTATTTAGTAATTACATCGAGCAAGTTTCCACGAAACATTTGCAGAATTTACAGCTCCTACAGATCTTTGAAAATGGGCAATTGGTTGCAGTTTAATTGCATTATCAGGCTTGGTTTTAGTTTATGATTGATCACGACGTGTTGGTATGAAAATTCTATTCAATGAATTCATTTTCTCCAAAAGTTGTGATCTATTTATTCGACCCTATATTTTTGATAAGCCCGACAGTTTGACTGATGAAAAACTGAACAGACAATTACAATATGATATTGCTGCTCGCCAAGGTCCTATGAGAAATTTATCATCTAAACGGAATTATGAAACTGGTTAGTTATTTATTTGGATTCTTTTAAAAATTTTAGTCTCTTCTATTTAGGTACATGGAAAAAGTAAAGGAAGAATCACGCAATTGCAATATATACATGGTGTGAAATAAATTTTTCTTTTTCATTTGCCTTGAATTTTTTTCTTGTTCTCAAATATTGTTCTTAGTTACTTACATTGTTGTGCGTTATCTTTTCTCTCACAAAAATGGAACAAAAAAGAATGGATAAAATCAATGCTAATTCGTGTGGATAAAATTATGCAACGAATTGCTTTTTGTTTCATTTCAGATATGTATTCATCTAAGCTTAACTGTTATATTTTCCTTGTAATTTCATTTATTTACCATTGTTCATCACAAGAAGATAAATATAACGAAGAGTTGTATATACGTCCTTTGTCAACAGGTCATACATATTTTAATCTTTTATTTACTACTGTCGTTTCTCCAGATATTCTGAAATCAAATATTAGTAGGTTTTTTGTAAAGAAAATCAGTTCTGTTTCTTAAATTTTGTATTTATTGATATAGTTCATCATTATCATTTATTTCCAAAAGTTATCGCTGATATTGTTCGATCGAATGGTGTTAGTGAATTTCATGTTTCATTAACGCAAGGCTTATGGCGATATGATCATTGGGGTATGCCAATTGTTGGTGCACCGCCAGGTGCAGAAATTTGGGCATGGTTTAAACCGAATGAACAGCAGGAGTAAGTAGAAAAACAAAGCTGCAAAGTCTTTCTTTGTTTCATATGATGAGCAAGATTAAATATTATTAAATGCGTATATCAATTAGTGTAACATCTCGTTGGAAATCATTTGTACATGAATTAGGTGGTCTTCTATGTGCTTCTCTTAATTTTCTTGATTCAAATGTGAGTACAAGTTCACCTAATTATTCTTTCCGACCTCAATCGATATTGCCCGTTTCATCAACTTCATATCAAGATAATTCATTTCTTCGATATGCTGTTTTGCCAAGAGAAATCGTTTGCACTGGTCTGTTTTATTGTTTTTCAATAGAATCTAAATTATAGTTTTTTTTCGTGTAAATAGAAAACTTAACACCATGGAAAAAATTATTGCCTTGCGTTGCTGGTGGTTCGAACCATAAGGGTCTTGCAGGATTACTTGACAATGCTCCAAAACTTTATAATAGTGTTTATCACTCACTTCGAATGGATTTACGACAAATATGTACTGTAAGCGTTTTATGATATTCATTTTAAATAAAAAAAACTGTTTGTTTTTTTCGACAAAGAATACTGAATGTACATCAACTCAACTAGAGCTTTCGATGGCATTAGCTATTGTTGTTGATACAACTTCATCAAAACCTGATCATAATGGTTTTGTTTTAAATTTTATTAGCTCGCTTTAATTCATTTTTTCTATTTCCTCGAATCTTATTTAGAATGGACGTTTCGTTCAATATTCGGATCAAATGTAGCACAAACATGTTCACTTAGTTCATTGGCAAATATATATGTCGATTTACAATTATCACAAGTATATTTTAATATTAGTTTCTTTGCAATAGACTGATTTCGAAAATTCTTTTCTTTCTTTCTTAGACACATTCATTCAATATAAGTCCTGAACCAGATTATTCGATTAAACAAGGATCAAAACCTATTATTGTTTATGATTTGCATGATGAAAAAAGAAAAAATACAACGTTCTCGTTGAATTGTAATTATAAAAAACAACAAACAGTATCAACTGATAATCAAGAAGATAGATCTTCACCTTCTATTGTCGTTCATCGATATGCTACAGGTAAAAAAAAGAAAGGATAATGATTGTTTTTTAAATACATACATGTTTTTGAAGGTTATGGCGTTCGTGATGGTGGTATTAAAACTATGATCAAATTAAATGAAGAACAAAAACAAGATCAAATCACATTGGTTTATTTCGAACAAATTCCTTGGTATTTTCGTATTTTTCTACATACTCTGAAAATCACAATGCTTGATAATAATCGAACGGAAATTAAACCTGGTAAAGAATTTAATTAATATTTTTATTTGAAAATCGTCATCATAAATATATATTATAGATCATCTATCGTATATACCCGGGAAAGATCGTGAACTACCATACCAATTAGAATTAGTTATAACAACAAAGCAATCAATTTTAATTAGTTTTGAGCTTGAAATGGTCTTTTTAAAATGGAATGAATTTCCACCTGACCCAAATCATGGATTTTACATTCCAAGTGCTGTTATCTCAACAATGCTTTCATCCAACAACAAATCAAATAATATTCTTCGATCGCTTCAATCATATTCCTTAAATCAAAGGTAAAAGCAACTTTCTTCTTGGTGATTACGTATGAAAAATGTCTTCATTGTTTGTTAATCTAGTTTGTCATCAGCAGCATCGGATGGTTTTGTTCGACTGTATTCAGAATCATTACTTGTTAATCTTCCAACACCGGATTTCAGTATGCCATTCAATGTCATTTGTTTGGGTTGTACAGCTGTTGCTCTTGCTTTTGGTGGTTTACATAATTTAACAACCAAGGAATTCACATTTGGTGAAAAACGTCCGAGAATTCCATTTCGTCAACGTTTAGAAGATCTCCGATTTCGTGTTATAGCTGCTCGACATGCTCTTGCACAACGTGTTTTCAGAAGCAACCAACAACAAAGAGAACATGTTGAATGAAAACATACGACTTGCTGTGCTCTTTCTTTTCTATGTTATACTCTATTCTGATATCGTCAATGTCTTTCATTATTTGGAAGATCGAAATAACTTTCTTTTTGTCTGACTCCAAGTTATCTGAGATAAATTAAGTTTTACATTTATTATGGTTTTTTTTCAATTAAATGCATTAATAAAATGGCTCACTTTTTCTCTTAATCCCTCATAGACGGGATACTTAGTTAAAATATTTAAGTTTTTCAATCGACGATTCTAATTGTCACAAACACGAGACTATCATCATTTATATAGGTTAGATATTCTTCGAAATGTGATGAAAGAAATATTATTATAGTCAGCATAATGATATATTCAAACTAAATATATCTCGAATATGGCTAAGATAAAACTATGCGGACGTTTGAAGTTTCGTTATTCAAGAGAGAAATACGTAGGAAATCAAATCTTCTTAATTTATTTTGAGCGTGTAACTGACTACGATGGTCGAGTGTTTTTTAGATTTCGATAAGTAGCTGTCAAATAAAGTTGCTTGAATCAACTATAAACTGTCACCTAGTGAATACTTTGTAAGAATATTTCTCTTTCAGCTATAATTGTAGCGCGTTTTGTAGAGTATCTCAATCCACAGTAATAAAGTATTTTCATAGAAGCCTTCAAATCGAATAACTATCAATAATTAGTTGTTGTTGGATACTTGATTGCTTTTATTTTCTTTTACTAGACTCAATTAGTTAGCTGTAATTCGTTATAATAATTTCAAAATAATCTTCTATGAACAAGTTACGATCAATGTAATTCAATTTCTGAACAGATTTTGATGTTTAAAAATAGCTTTAGTTGAGACTTGTATTTCTTCGATCATACTAATTGATAATATAAATAAATAAATAAAATCATTTGTCTCATCTCACTTGCAAAACACTAAAATTTTGATGTTAGTGAGAATGTGAGTGTGATTGAAGAGAATTAGATTTTTTTTCTTTCTAATAAATCTTGTTCATGACCTTTAATGCTTGTTACGATGTAGAAATAATCAAATGCAAATGAATAGCTATTAATTGCAATCATTTTAAGAAATATTATCTATGCACCACTATGTTTCGTGCACATTCTCTCGATTAAAACACTTGTTTGAACTTTCCGGGGTGATTAAATGCGATCGCCATATACGAGTCGTATACGGACCATATTGTTCGACTCGGGTGTTCGTCACCTAATGACTCAAAACAGAAAAAGTTTCCAACAATAGAGAAGAGTACAATCAAGGATAAGGATTGACAATACACTTCTGCAACAGTGTATATAAAATGACACGATAGAGGGCGTTAAATAACAATAGTGCACATGCACACTTCTGAAGAGGCACGTTCATAAATTGTAATTAGTCGAATAATTGTTTTCGCAACTGATGCAATAATTTTAATTCGTCTTTGAAAAACACTTTAAATCTGAATTAACTTTTTAACCTACTACATTTCTCAATTTAACATTAACTTTTCTAGTGTAGATAAGGTTCTTCTTTTATTCGTGTTGTCAGATTATATTAATGCTAGTGAATCATTGGCGTAGACTATTCTTGTTTCTTCATGGTGTTTCTTCAACTACAAGCCTGTTCTTCTACAACACTGTGATCGTTTCTGGATCAATAGAAAATGTGGCATTGAGCTCTTTAAAATTCTAAAAGTCTCACCACTCTAGCTATTTTCTTCCATTAGTGTTTATCTATGATTCATCGCTCTGGTGTAGAAGGTGATGAGAAATACAAAGAACTAGGTGTCCTACAAGGTTAAAATAATGCAATCAAATACATTTAGTTTGATTTGCAAATAGCTATATGATAAAATTTCAACTTCTTGTTTAGAAGCCTTACAACGTTTTATTAGGCTATTTGATAATCACACAAAAACACATTCATATAACTAATTTCATCGTAACGAAACGAATGAATTTCTTTACGAAAAAATCTTAGATCTCTTTTCAGTTTTTAACTTAAGAATATTTTGTCTTTTTAGATTACTAAATTCTATTTTCTTTGCCAATAAATTTAAATGTCTTCAATGGTTTAATCATTATAAAATGCCAACAACCGTGTCTGCTAAACAAAGTGACTAATTTGAACTAGTTGCTCGAAATCATAATCAGTATTTAATATAAATATGTATACATCCATTGATCAGATCCAGTAAGAATAAATTTTTTTGTAAAAGAAAATGAAATAAATTTTCATTGCATTTATCATAACGGCGCGTTATTTTGCATTGATACTTATGCTATTTATTCAAATTATTTAATTATATTCATAATAATAGTATAGTGATTTATGAATTTTATCCATAGTAGAATAATTACTTCACAAACATGGTTGGCCATGGATATAAGCTATGAATCTGAAGCAATTGAAGACCTTGAACATTAAGTAATTAAAGTTATCAATAGTTTATGAAATAAATAATTAGAAAATGTAACTAGTCTTTGTGAAATGTTGAACAGAAAAAGTAAGCTCAAATGAAAAGATAACAGGTTTTTTCTTTCTCAGGTTTATGATTATTAGTTTGGCCTTTAATAATAATTAAAGTGAATTTCATGGAATAGAAGATGTATAAAAAAGTGATGCCACTTTGTTCACATGATAATAACTCTGATTTACATACAAATATGTTAATACCTATTATTGTTATGAATATTGTTCGGTATGAAATGAGACTTTTTTCTTTTAAAAACAATAAAATAAAAGTTATTTTCAGAGCAGTACATTGTTTTAAACAAGAAAATTTTGAAGATTTAAGCAGTATATAAGACAAACGTGCAATTAACTGGCGATACGATTGAAACTTGATCGAATTATTTCTTGTTCTTGAAACAAGTAAGTAAACTGTACCTGAACAACTATTGAAACATTCAACTGGTATTAGAAACAATAGTAATTCAAAATGTTGATTTTTTAAATCAAATCTTTGTTCATCTAAAGTCGACTTCAATTAGTGAAATAATAACTTTAATTTTGCAGCTGTTCAGCATAGTTACAATAATTAATTTCAATTCTGTTGTAAAGCACAATTGATATTGTATCTAGATAAATGATTAGATATTTTTCTAACTTTTGTAGCATCTTCGTTGTATTTGCGTTTGAATAAAAAAAGTCAGATTAGATAGAGGCAGAGTCCATTGCAATCTTCAAACAAATCATATTGATGAAGACCGTTATACACTTTGTTAGGAGATAATCAACGGTTTATCTCTTTTTCTTTTCTAAAAGTTATGTAAAATCAACTGATGAAAATGATTGGATTTATTATTCGAAAGAAATCTTCCCATATCTCACAATATTTTTACAACGAAGCCATGTTAATCAATCTATATGCCGATAAGAACTTAATAATTAGTTATTAAAATTATTTTACAAAATGATATTTATTTTATTCTACATTTTAAATGAACAATCGAATGACTGCTACTATTATGCTTTCGGTAATATTTAATCGAATTAAATTCGTAAGCTTTTTATGACGAACATATATAATTAATCTTTAGATTATCTCCATACGCTAGATTCACCTTTTAACAGTTTCAAGTAGCTATCAAAAGTATAGATCTATGAATCGATTAATTAAATTGATGCCGAACATTCAGTTCTTTCTGCAAAAGCTTTTACCGATTAAAGTCCTTGCTCAATGAATTAGTGTTATTCAACATCTTATTTTATCAAGTTAATTATTATCACAACTCGATTTTGAGGCTAGATCGATTTAGAATCATGCGTAACAAGTAGGCTGCGCTAAATTCTCACACCACTCGAAGTGAGATGTGTATAAGAAAATAATTCTCACTTGTATTAAAAATGTCCAATAATCTCGTTATTTTTTTGAACAGTGGCCAATGAATTTTCATGTGCTAAAGAGGATCGATGCACATTTCTTCTTCATTTTTCTACTATAGTCTCTAGGATCAAATTTTAACAATTTATGAACTACTAGAAAATCAATGAACAATACGTCGACAAGAACAAGAACAATTTTAAGTATGAAAAAAAGATCTCAATTATGAAATTATAATTATTAAAGAACTGATATATATATAACTCGAACAACGTCCAAGAATCTAATAGAATTTCTAGGCAATAAAGAAATCGGCTATTAACTAAAATTGATCTACTTTACTCAGAAATGAGATAAACAAAACTATTTTCAAAGTTTTCACCAACACTAAGGAACAGAAATGCAATAATGGTGAGTTCATTTTATCAAGATTACCAATAAAAGATTTAGTCTTCGTTTTAAATGAATTTATTCACGGTAAAAATAAAAATTACATTTTAAGAACAAGCAGGTAAATATGATCTTGATCAACTTCATAGATGTGCACATTTTTACTTGTCTGTCATCATTTGTCGTAAAAAAATATCCTCATTCAATCGATAAAGAACACATAACTGAATATTATTGCAAAAGTAGTAAATTGACTTATTTAGCAGTATGCTGAACTGCGTATTTATCATTTTAACTAATAATCAATTTTTCTTTGTTTGTATAATGAAAAGGCTACCGTTGCACCACCAATAAACAAATGATAGAAGTAATCATGAGATAGACTGAATATTCTTTTTCGGACGAATTATATTTCGTTGCGATCGAAACAAAGCGTTATGGAAAAAATTGCAACGGATCAAAATTGACAATTTCCTATTAATGTTCTATGTCATTCTGTAGATTATTCCGGTATGTATTGTCGTTGGTTACATTCGATACAGATGTGTGATCTATATGATGTTTAACTTTGGCTATTATTGTTCTTGTCTTTGATGATTAACATATTTATTGACTTTTTCTGAAAATATTTTGAATTGTATACCTTTTTAAAACTTTTCTTTCGTTTAATAGATGAGAGCGAATATACATATGACTTTCTATTAGGTTAGAATATGATTACTAGTGTAGATAACAGTTGAATTTATAACATTTAATAGTGATTCACTTTTATGAAAGTTTGAATGTAACTACAAATAGAGTTTGTCTATTCAAGAATGTTAAAATTAATATTCTTGATATCTTCAGCAAAATAAAAAAACAAAAAGAACAAACTATTAAAACAATTTTCATATGTATTTCAGATGTCCTCTAATATCAAATATCCAACAATACGTCGTGATCCAACTGTTTCGGATATATATGGTGATAAATCTTCATCACCTATTACAGTTAATGATCCATATCGTTGGCTTGAAGATCCTGATTCAGAAGAAACAACTAATTTTGTTGCAGAACAAAATGTCATTAGTCAAGCTTATTTAAATAATATTTCTTATCGGACACAGTTTTTCGAACATCTCAAAGAAGTATTTAACATTCCAAAATTTTCATGTCCATCAAAACAACCGAATGGAAAATATTATTATTTTATGAACACAGGTCTTCAACATCAAGATGTCTATTATGAATTAGATTCATTATCAAAATCAACTGAGCAAGCGCAAGTTTTAATTGATCCAAATACATTCTCCGAAGATGGAACTGTAGCCATACAATCAATTAATTTTTCATACGATGGTAAAACTTTGTGCTATAGGTAACGAAATATTATTATATTGTTTTATTCAATTGCATATTTCTTTTATTCTAACATATAGTGTGTCTGATGCTGGCTCAGATTGGTCGACAATTTACTTCATGGATGTTGCAACTCGTAATAAATTAAATGATGTTATTATTCGAACAAAATTCTCATCGTTACGTTGGACAACAGATAATCAAGGAATATTTTATTCGACATATGCTGGTGCTCTTGATAATGTCACATCGAACAAAGATTCAAGTCATTCGACAGAAAATAAAAGCAAAATTGCAGAAGATAAAGATATACAGAAGAAGGAAGAAGTAATGTTTGTTTTTTCAAATTGTCATACATAGGCTCTAGTAATCTTGTTTTTTTTAATAGGCAGCAAATGAAGTGGTACCAACCACTATTGAAGTAACTCGCACTGATATTCAAGAAGTTTATTTTCATCGACTCGGAACACCTCGTTCAGCTGATATTTGTCTTGCTCGTTGTACAGATGATCTCAACGAACACTTCTTTTCAGTTGAAACATCTGATGATGGTCAATATTTAATTGCTAATATAAGCATAGGAACTTTAAGAGAAAATAAGATTTGGTTCCTTCCATTATCAAAATTGTCGGATTCAATCGTGGAAAAACCTAATTGGACAAAATTAATCGATCATATGGATTTCGTTTATGATTTTGTAACATCTCAAGATGATTTGCTTTATTTCAAAACAAATGATCAAGCTGAAAATTTTCGTCTCATTTCAATGAATGCAAAAACAAAAGAAATAAAAGAGATAATTAGTGAAGATAAAACTAATTTATTAGAAGATATAACACGTGTTTATGACAAATATTTTCTTGTTAGATATCTTTCACATGTTAAATCAGTTCTCTATTTATTTGAAATGAAAAGTGGACGACAATTACGTAAATTTGATCTACCCATTGGAACTATATCTATTTGGTAGGATTAATAATAATGATAATAAACAATAATTTTAATATTTGACATTTTTTAGGGGTGATCAACATGAATCAGAAATATTTATTCGTCTCGAATCATTTCTTTCTCCGACAACAATTTATTCATGTGATCTTGCTCAATCAGTTGATGCTTCATTGACAATTTTTAAGCGAATTGAATTTGCTGGGCTTGATCTTAATACATTAACTACTGAACAGGTTTTCGTTGATTCAAATGGATTAGATCCATCGAATCCAGTTAAAGTACCCATGTTTTTAGTTCATAGAAAAGATTTAAAAAAAGATGGTCAAAATCCAACACATATATATGCTTATGGTGGATTTTCAACTGCTATGAAACCTTTCTTTTCAATTGCTTCACTTCTTTGGATTCATCATTTTCATGGAGTTTTTGTTGTAGCTAATGTTCGCGGTGGAGCAGAATATGGTGAAGTATGGCATAAAGATGGCTACAAATCTAAAAAAATGAATACTTACCTTGACTTGTGTGCTTGCGCTGAATGGCTTGTTTCAAATAAATATACTCAAACAGACAAACTATCAATGGCAGGTGGAAGTAATGGTGGATTAACCGTTGCAGCTTGTGCTAATATGCGACCAGATTTATTTGCTTGTACTGTAGTACAAGTTGGTGTCCTCGATTTATATCGATATCATAAATTTACCATTGGTATGTGTACCCACCCATATATTGAGAAAGCAAAAACTCTTAGTTTTCCTTTCTAGGATATTATTGGTGTGGTGAATATGGAAATCCTGATTTACCTGCAGAATTCGAATGGGTTAAAACAATATCACCATTGCATAATATTCCAATGAATCCAACAACATTTCCAGCAATTCTTGTAACAACAGCTGATCATGATGATCGTGTTGTACCAGCTCATTCATTTAAATATATATCCCAATTACAATATCAATTAGGTGAAACAATGAATCGTTTAGGTCGTCCATTAATTTCAAGAATTGATGTTCGAGCTGGACATGGTAAATTTTCTTTTCTTTTCTTTTTATAATTAATAAATATTTCTCTGAATTCTTCTGTTTTAGGTGCAGGAAAGCCGACAATCAAACGAATTGAAGAATTATCTGATATGTATTCGTTCGTTTCTTACGCATTGGGTGCTCAATGGCATGATTGATCAAACTAAAGACATTTTTCTTTTCTTTTGAGATTCTTTAAATTATCATGAGAACTAGATTTTTTTTTCATTAAAAGACTACTACAAAAATCATCTCTGTCAATAAAAGCAATAGTTTTGCTTTCAGAAATGACTTCTCGTGCAAAACTTACTGAAAACCTTCAGTCTCTTTGTCATGAACATGGTTTAACGTGGGACGATCAATTATCAAATGATATTCCACGAAAATGGCGCATACATGGTGACATGCTTCTTCTTTCTTCAAGTCGTTGTTTTGTTGATTCTCGATGGATAACTCATATTCGTTTGTTTCTTTTAAATACATAGGTTTTTTTTTGTTCATTCGAATATGAATTTTCTAGCATCTGATCAATTTTGGTCAACTGTTGCTCGATCATTTGGATCATCAATTAAACGTATTGCTTTCGAAGGTTCTATTAAAAATGACGATTTTCGATCACCAAATACACGCTTAGTATTAGGCAGTGACCCATGGGTATATCTAATCGAAAATGGTATTAAGTAGGTTAGTTTCAATTCCTTTCAAACATATGAGAACATTTTTTTACTGAAGATTTTCATATAATGTTGATAAAAGTATGTTTTGTGCTGGAAACAATACAGAACGAATGAGAATGGGGCGAATGTTATGTGCCAATGAAACAATTGTTGATCTTTATGTAGGCATTGGATATTTTACTCTTCCATTTCTTGTTCACGGTCATGCACGTCATGTATATGCTTGTGAATGGAATCCCGATTCAATGGAAGCACTTCGTCGCAATCTTCAAGCAAATCATATCGATGATGATCGCTATACACTTCTCTTAGGAGATAATCAATCGGTCAGTTTCCATTTCTTTTTTCTTTCTTGTAAACAAGAAACTTCATCGTAGACATGTCCTGTGGGTGTAGCTGATCGGTGTAATCTTGGCTTAATTCCATCATCTGAAGCTAGTTGGCCGATTGCTTGCCGAGCACTTCGATCTGAAGGAGGTCGTCTTCATGTACATGGTGTTGTAAATACCAAAGAAGAAACACATGATCAATACAGTGAAAAGGTTCGGCAACGTATTGAAACAATTATGCGAGATATTCATCGTGAAGAAAATAATTACAAATGTGAAATAGAACACATTGAAAAAGTTAAACCATATGGACCTCGCTTAGATCATCTTGTTGTTGATTTATTATTAACTGAAATTCGGTCATGATCGTAACAAAAAATTTCAGAAAATAAATTTTCTGTTTATTTTTAATTGAAAATAAATTATTGTTAAACGGCTTGTTTAAAACAAAGTATATTTTATTTGAAAGAACTCATATGCAGATGACATTTATCTTTATTATTTGGTTATTTCAACGCAGAAGAATATTTTATTCATTCATTTTATTTAGAATAGAACACAACTAAATCTTTGAGAAAACTATTTTGTTCACGATTATCTGATAACTTCAAAATTAAAGAATCTATACATTTGGTTAATCGTACACATTGATTCACACTCAAGTTGATAGTTCGATAGTTCGCTACTTGTCAGATAAGAACAGTTGATATCTACTGGTAGAATAGCGGCTAGAAGAGAATTAACTGTTTAAATATCAATCTATTGTCGACGCAAAAATATAAGGCTATTAGCCATTTTTCTCAATAAGTTTCGATAGAAAGGGGCCAAACACGCTACGCGAATTAAAACTGAATTAACCACTAATTCATCTAAAAAAGATGACTTAAATCTGAATTAACCAATCGCATTTCTTAATTCAATTTTATTTTTTCTAGTGTGTTTGACCCCAAGCACAACAGAACCCTAGTGCTTTCATACATGGACAAAGAACGCTATCGTTCGTCAAATTATGCACATGGACTGATACAACACTTAGTGATGGTGAATGATTTTATGATAGGCCGACATTTTCGCATATATATATACTGTGTTCGATTTTCTCCAGACTTCGTTACTGCACTTCAATTCAATCGTGCTCACAAAACAACAGTTGTGATTTCATCAACAATTGTTTCGGAGCTTTCTTCAGTTTTATTATCTCTATGCTAAAATCCAAGTGTCAAAACTGAATTTTTCACTTGGAAAGATTTCATAGTAGGACTTGGGTCACAGAATGCATACATAGTAATACTTTCTTTATCTATGAAAAAGATAATACAGCTCAATTGTTTGTATCAAATAATGTTAATCAACAGATTCACTCTTTCTCAATTATTCAGTAGGAAATGTTTAACGTGATGATCAGATAAATATTTAATCATTCAATAACACTTCAGGAAATAATTCTTATTTCTAGACATAATATTGTTCATCTTGATTTTTACCGAGCGATGACAAAAGAAAAACAAGATAATTTACTCGAGAGTAATTCATCAGAAGCATATGTCAATCTCAGTTTATTGAGAGTATTTGCATAGTTGCTCTTTGGGTTGAACATAGCACGATATCAACGACACTAAAACAAAGAAAAGAGCGATGTTGATACACTTTATATATTACCGGCACGATTTTGCAACTTAACAAATGACTGTACTAACACTAACTGTTTGAAACTATTCTTGAAACAATTGAATAAATATATTTCCATTATCGTATATGTAACGAAAATTCTTATGTTTTCTATGATATAATATTAATATTTTAGAAAGATATTAATGAAGAAATTTCACATGAAATTTGAACTTTTGAATATGTATATCCATGATTTATTATAACCAGAGCTGTCATCTTTTCTGGTTCTCCATCTGTTTCCCGCTGTCCCACATTTTTTCACTTGTTTTAATATATGTGAATGACTCATTTAATATTAATAAAATCACCTTAGCTTTGTAGAATTCAATTCGATCAATAACGTTTATATGTAATTCGATTTCATTAGGAACACTTTGTGTAATAATTATTAATATATAATAATTACAGTCTAAATTAAAATTTGGCGCCAGTAGATGTTTGCATTCAATTCATTTTTTCTGTTCGTTTTTTTTTGAAATATCGGTTCTATTATTGATTTCGAATATTTTCTTTACGATACATAAATTAATTACGATGGTGAACTTTGCCGCAATGATGGAAGTTTTTACAACCATATTAACTTTCGTAGAAGCAGTAGTGGATCAAGTTGCACCTGTATTCAATAAATTTCTTGATAGGAAGCCGTCTCGTAAGCACTTTGTATACATAATCATAAACGTCAGTATTGTATGTAATAGCATCACCTCAACCAACCATGAATCCAAACTGTCAGCCACCTCATTGTGGAATTTCACCGTATTATTGTCCAGCCGAACTCTTGTCATCTATTTGTATTCAAAGAAAAATGACGATTGATGATGGTTTATCTCCTCGCCTAACGACATTGTCTTCCGATACTAACGATGATACTAACGAGAATACAGAGAAATCTTCGACATCATTATCACCGTACGTTTCTTCGTAGAAGATACATTTGAACTTTTAGCCAATTTTTGCTAGACTCCAAAACAAAAATCATTCATCTCTTTAGAAATTGTAAAATAATTTAGCCTAATTCAAGAAACGAAAAGCATAAGATATTAGTTTATGATCAGCTTGTTATTCGTTTTAGACGCAGCACAGTTATGTTGGTATTCGTTTGTATAATCGTATTAGCTATAATTGGCTTTTTATGGATACGATTCAGGCGTCAAAATGATGATACATGGAAATATGACGATCGTAAAAGTAGTGCATGGACAATATAATCGAAAATGTTTCTGTCGACAGTGAATGTATTACCTAACAATGTTGATTCAGAAATGAATAAAATAGACTATTTTTTACAATAAATACAAAAATAGATACATACTGTAGCCGGAATGTGAATGTTTTCTATCTCAACAAACACATTCATATGCTGCAAAATCCTTCTTCAGTTCGTATTCTACTGACTGATATCAGATTATATTTGAATACCTACAAATCTAGTCCTATTAAATCGACTAATAAAAAAAAATCTAACTTTTGTTGATGTCCGGTTTCTTTGGTGCTCGCTAATAATATTCACCGTATTAGAATTGATTTGCATGAACATATTTTTTCTGTTTACACAAAAAATTAGTTCCCTTTAAACGACGATAATACACTTCGTCTTATTTTATTTTTCAAAAAAAACTACGGTATTTATTTAGGAAAAATGAATCAATACATGTAACTTTAGAATTAAACATGTAGTTACAACATTATTTTGTTTATGAAAATGATTCGTTAGTTCGTATACGAGTTTGACTTTTCATGCAGTCATTGTTCAGTGTCAAAACTTGATTAATATAGGAAAATCGAAATTTAATGAACAAATCATTCTCTAACCTCACAAAGCACAAAATATAAAAATTTCAGTCATGGCTAACTCATAAATGACGACTATGCTGAGAAAAATCAAGTTGCTCGCATATGGAAGACGTATTAAATATTTTTCGTTTTCTTAGTCATTATGTTTATTTGTTTTTGTAAATACGTTAAACACAAACAGAAAATAAGACGAAAGCATGATAAATGGAAATATATAATTATACACACACGAACACAGTCAGCTGGTAAAAATGTTGAGAAATAAAATGAGGTGAAGTTTATTTATTGATTTATTTTTCTGTCAAAACAAGGTGACACTATGAATACACAGGAATTGCACAGTACATAAAATAAAAGGAAAAATGTGAGGAATGTTTAGATAATTAATTAGATTCTTGTTCAAATTGAGACCAAGCTTCATTAAGTTCAACAAATATAAACTTTGCTAATTCTTCATTTGGATCACCGCGAAGCTATTAGATAAAATATATATAGTTAATTTGAAATGAAAAAAAGAAATAAACTCTTTTTACTTTGTCAGGATGAATATGAAGTACTGCTTTTCTATAAACTTTTTTAACTTGATCATGCGTTACTAAATCATGCATTTGACATCCTCCCCAAGTACACTCAGCCCATGTAACAGTTGATAATGAACATAACAATGCTCGAATATTTCTCTTTTTTCCTTCAGTCCATTCTCGAACCTATTTTATTTGTTTCAATAAAAATAAATAAATCAATTAAAACATACCTTAAGAACTGTTGGGTCAAGTTCTTTGGCCAATTCTGCTTTACGGATATCACCGATTGCCGCTGTACCTTGTCGAGCTTTTGAACCAAAATCAGACATTCCAGCTTGTTCACGAACTAATGTATCAAAGTCAATTTTGGATGGTTGAAGACGAGTTGTACTTGCATTTGGTTTAATTGGATCTATAAATAATATATTATTGTTAATGTTTAAATAGCCTGACTATCTTTTAACTTAGTTATTCAAAAGCAATGCTAATTTGCTGACTAATTTCTATTCTTTACTTTTGTTCCTTTTCAATTTTAAAGATAACTACATTTTAGGATCAACTCCGACATATATATCTCATTGGAAAAAGATGAACATAAAAATTGTGAGTCATTCTTTAGGACTGGATTTAAACATAGGCATTCATAATAACGCATTGATTGCCAACGATAAGGTCTTAATACAGATCATTTGCACATTGTAAAAGCAACAACAAAAAAGAAAGAAGAAAAATATTAACTTATTAATATTTCATTCAATTGTTACAAAAGGAACATCTACATTATTAAACACATATATTAAAATAAAGTAGCAAATAAATGATCTCTTTTTTAATAGAATACATAAACAATATTCTCCTCTGTAAGAAAACTCGAAATTTGTTTGCGAATCTTTAAGGAGAATAAATACACTCAACGTTTTTCTAATCAATGCTAAACATCTATTAAACATATCGCCATTGGCAATGAAATGAAAATTGTGCTCACTTGTTTGTTGTGGTTGTATAGGTGGAGCGGCAGATTTAGTTGCTAGATTTATATTATAATTTGGAAGTGATGTTGTTGATGATGTGCTGGATATTTTAGCTGCAGCTAGAAATAAATAAAAAAAATATGGAACGCTTCACGATTTTGCGTGTCATCCTTGCGCAGGGGCCATGCTAATCTTCTCTGTATCGTTCCAATTTTATTATATGTCCCACCGTAGTGGGACGATCAAGGCTATCGCTTAGTTTCTTATATATTGAAACAGCAGAATGACAAACAAAACGGTGAATCAATCGAAAACAACGGGGGTCATGTGCGACATCTATCGAAAAAGTACTTCATACCTGTTGTTGCTGCTGCTGCTTGTTTTGAAGCAAGACTTTCATTACTTGGTGTTTTAAGTGGTACTGATGATGAAAACAAATCTTTAAATGGATCAAGACGATCAATATTTTGATTTGAAGAAGATTTTGTTTCTGCTTTCAGAATGGCGGTTGCTTGAATAGGTGCAGGTAATACAGTAGCTGATGCATTGCGATGTAAAATTGGTTTATCTAATGGCATTGAATTAAAATCAACTCCTAGTAAATCGGTCGTTTTCATGGATGACGTAGAGAAATGCGTTTGAGTATCAATATGTAAATCGAATAAATCGTTTTCCGTATTTGTTAGTGGTGTTGATTGAGGTTGAGAATGATGTGTATCATCGCCAGTTATATCAAGAAGAGTACCAATAGCTATATCTTTATTACTTTGTGCTTCTTGTTTCAATGAAGAATTTGATTCAATTTGTTGTTCTTGAAATGGATTAGCAAATAAAGTGGATGCTGATGGTGGTGTTTGAGATACTTGACGATTTGTTTGAGATACTTGGCGATTTGTTTGAGGTGAAGGTGGGTTACTAACATTTGAAATTTGCGATGGTTCAACATTGAGTTTTGTTGAAAAACTAGATGGCGAAGATTCAGTGGTGTAACTTCCATGATATTGATGACCATCGCCTAATTAGTAAAGAAAGAAGAGAAAGATTATTTGAATTTATTGTTGACATTTAAGAGAACAATATCTATCTAGACAACAAACATCGTACCGATTGAAAGTTTATAGTGTTTTTCTATTTATTTTTAAAATCATAATCGTTTCAAAAATAAAATGAAAAATATTTTTCTTACCATATTCATCAATGGTATGTCGAAATTCCATTTCATCTTTGAATAAACATTGTGGCTTTTTAAATGTATTATCTAATTGTTTTGAGATCATTTCTTGATCAACGGATGAAGTTTTCTTTGAGCATATTGTATCCAGTGTAAGACGAAATGATGGAGGATATTTTTCAGTTTGATCAATACCATCCAATTCATATCTTAATAAAATTTTATTCTTTGAAGAAATTCAAAATTTTTTCTAGGTTTCTTCCTGTCTACCTTGAATAAGATAATTCTGAATGAGTTACTGTGCAAAAATTTGAATTGATTGTCAACTCGCACATACGTATTCCACCATCCTAAAATATATTTATTAACGTAAACGTTTACTAGATATGTAATTTCAATCTTTTTATGAGAAAAAAACAAGTAGTTCATTAAAATCTGTTTTTTAACAAATAATTTAGCAGTAAATATCAAATATTCAACTCATTCAAAATTATTTATTTTTTTCTTCTTCATTATTCATTTTGAACGAGAATTAATTATGAAAAAAATGCAAAGTTTCGATGTTGCCTTGAAAACTATACTTTGAGAAAAACGAAAAATTCGTACATGTGCATGTAAAGATAATCCGACAGGAGCATGTGACACCTGAATAGTAAGGTCACCATTAAATGGAATGTTTAATGGGATGGGACAAACACCATCCGTTGCACAAAATACTCTAAAAGAAAATTCGTTTAAGTTTAAAAAAGAATAAAAATAAATTCCAACCGAAGTTTATTTGGTTCTTGATATGTTGAAAATATTTTTTTATAATCTTGATTAAAAACATCAACGTACGGTCGACAACCATTCCTACAAAAATATTTAATAACTTAAGTATACTATATAGGAAAATTTTTCATTAACTACCTTTCTCGATTAAATAATGGTACTGGCGATAAGTTTATTGTTTTAAGTATCAATTCAGTAAAATGTGGTTTTTCAATAATGCCAAATGATAAATCGCATAAATATTGAATATATCTATCGAAGAGTTTTTTATTAGTTTTCTTTTCAATCTTATTCAAAAAGATAAAACCTTCTCTGAGAAAATGTTAAAAATGGATGTGCACATCGACGCGATTCATAATATCGAACAATATGATCAACTTGTGGAAATATTCCATGATACGCAATTAATGCACATGTTCCATAAGCTATTTGATTTCTTCCATCCTTTTTTTTTATTGTGTTTTAAATAACTTATTTTAAAAACAAACTAAGAAAACACAAATGAAATACTTACAGCACAATGAAGTACAGCTGTATTTGATGACGATTCAAGTAAAAATGAACTAATCTTTTGGCAAAAACATAATAAATCAACTAAACGTGGAGAATGCTTTTCATCACACAATGGTAAATCGATCACCTTAGTTCAACATAAAAATAAATATCTGTTAAATAAGAATAATAATAATCAACTAACTCTATTATGAAATAATTCTTTGCGATATGAATGATGGCCCCGATGATGTTGATCAAGTGAAAATAACATGTATGATTGAGAATGTTTAGTATCGAGTAAATCACGAATTAGTTCTGCTGATTGACGACCCGATAATTCAGATGGATTATCGCGTGGCGAAGCCATTACTAAAAATATTAAAATATGTTTTTGTGAAAACATTTTTCTATCAATTTTGAATTCTACATTTATTCTTCCGATTCTCAATAGGAGGGAGCAAGCATTGTGAGTTTTAAGACTGACGATCTTTTTTTCAAGGCAATTTTCTGTAATAGATAGTTCTTTTTCTACGATAAAAACTATTCAGCTCAAATCGAAATCGAAATCGAAATCGAAATAGTAATATGAATAGCCAACTAAATCTTTTATTAAGTCAATTGCATACCAAATTTTTGTAGATAGACGAGGAGAGGAAGACTATTGAAAAATCAAATCTTTTTCTTTTCAAGATTCAGAAGATAATATGAAAATTCTTTTTAAAAAACAAGTATAACCCTCACTAATCACAGTACCTAAGTAAAATCTATCTTTACATTTCTAAAAATTCAATTTTGTTCTTAATATTGATAATATTTTTTTCAAAATAGATTAGAGAATAATCAGTAATTTTTCATTTTATTAAGACTTCAGTACTATTAGATACTTCAATCGATCTCATGAAACCTAAAAATCATCGTTTTTTCAGTTTTCGAAAAATCGTTCTCTAATAGTGTTTTGACCGAAGTGTTCCCCTTCGATCATAAGACGGAACAAACGAATAATACACGTTCCTTTCTAGTATAGTGTTAGTACAGCTGCCTGGAAAGCAGAAGACGTTGGTCCGATTCCATCGGAGGGATATTATCCTTGTATTCCGTTCTGTTGTCATACCATCACGTTGCTGTCTCGCTGATAGATAAGTTTCATAATGTGAGAGAAAAGAATACATAACAAATAGTTCAACTATGAAAATGCGGTATGATATTGTACTCGATAGACTATTGCATAGACTATTGAAAGCACTGTTTAGGTTTCATATCATTGAATTAAAATGATTTAATTAATTTTAATTTGTTCAGTTGAACGTAATCCGATATCTGACGTGAAATATCGAAAGAAGTGGTAGGAAAAAATCTAAACACGATAAGTGAATTCATCCATGAACAATAAGAAAAATTTTCTTTTTTATTTCTTAAGACAGAATAAATAGATTTTTTATTTTAACGATGCATTAAAATCAATTTTTCAAACTAGCTTTTGAATTCAACAGAGATAAATATTGAATAATTTTCAATAATCAATTCAAAATATTTAAGAATAGATGAAATCCTACCGATTACTTTCGATGTAATATAACTAAGATCAACTTCAAAATGATGATTTTGTTGATGATGACCTACACCCATTGAACTTCCTGGTGTTAAGTTCGTTGGAACATTTGTTGCCAAAGTTCTTAAAAACTGATTTTCAAAACAAAATATCAAGAGACAAAACAAATTACTGTTTAACTTGTTGAACACCTTCATTGATAACTTTTGATGATGTATCAATGATACTTTTCATCCACGATTTTCCGGATATATTTAATCCTTTTATTGATGATGGAATATAACTACTAACGCCAGCATTTAACGATGGATTATTCGCAGCAAGTGGTGCTTTCGCTAATAGCAAATAAAAATTTATTTATTTATTTATTTTATTCAAAAAGCCAAATTTCTTGTTACCTGTTGATGGATTTCCATCAGCAGCTGAAGAAGTAGTTGTATTTGTTGAAGTAATTGTATCGTTTGCATTGAAAAGAAAAAGTAGTGGTTCATTTAGACCGATATCATTTCCTATGGCTAAATCTTCAATATTTTCAACTAAGGTATGAATTGTTGGTCGTTGGCCAGGATCAATTTTTAATAATGTATCTAAATAAATATTTTAATTGCATCATAGTGTAAATCAAAACTTTTAAAAATGATTAGAAATTTTAGTAATCCTAGAAATTATGGAAATTACACTATTTCAGAAACTTCCAAACAATTGAAAATATATGATAAATGGTTTATCCATTTTGAATTGCAGGAAAAATAAATCTTATGTATATGTAGATAGATTTTTTACGCTTTTTGTAGCTATGCTATCATTTCATCTCTATCAAGTTATTAAACTATTTATCATGAATTATTTTGTCATTGTAAGTAATCTTCGAGAGAAGATATTATGATTAGAGAGTTGCAAAAGAGATGTTCATGTTCGTTTTAAAATCAAACCATTTACTTCTAGGATCATGTCAAAATATTTCATTCTCATTTTCTTTTCAGTACATGAAATCATCGACTCTTGTTTCGACTCGACATTAATCATTGCAAATAGAATAATCATAGGAAAACTAGTTTTCATATTCTTCATTAGGAAGGATAAAAAAATGAATACTGCTTGTTTTTACGTCTGCTATCAGAATATAGCTACATATGGAATAAAGATACATCATATGAATCAGTTGGTGTAGATAAAAAGAAGTAAAAATGCAATCCATCACTTTCTCTGAAAAAATAATCATCTTTCGATGCATATTTAGTTTTCTAGAATTTTGTAGCATTATCAAGGCGGCTCTACACGGTAATTGGTTTCAAACGAATGTATTATCATTCTAAAACAAATAATTTGTATGAATAAGTTGGAAAATAAACCAATTATGTGTAAACAATTAATCTCTGTTCGACTCAACATTTAGATTATTAATCTTGAAACAGATTTCTTTCATGGTTGTCTGAGACATAAACAGAAGTGATGTTTTTCTTTTCATTTCCTTGCTATTGTGCTCCATTTACATGATATAAATCATTATTATTCATTCGTCTCTTGAAATAAGTAACTGCAGCAAAGAGAATTATGAATCAAGCAACGAGTTCGCTGAAAATTCAATTAAAATGAGATTAGGCTTTTTTTTTAAGATTGTGTTTATTTCTTACTGGCCTACTTTAAAACCATCTTTTTATCGATAAAATCTTCGTTGCAATTCTTACGATTCTTCACTATTCTATTTCATCACAAGCAAGTTAGAGTTCTATGCATATGACATATCTTAAATATTATTTTTTAAATAAGATTGGAACGAACACTGCCCTTTGATTAAGAATTAAATCTCTGAAGAAAAAAAGAATTGCTCATGGCAGTAACTTACTCACTATGGAATCAAAAACAATGTTTGTTGTCTTTGCATAGTAAACTCATGCATTCATGTATTTTTGGCTCAATAAAAAAACATTTTCGTCGATAGTCCAGAACTTTTTCTTTTGTTAAACAACAAATTTCTATGACGTTATGACTTTTCAAAGAAATTATTTAATTCATTGTTTGATTCTCATGAAAACCTTAACGACGATGTAAACTATGTTTCTATGTCATCTATTTACTTTAGACATATAGTATTTTACAATCTTGTCGTTCTTACTTTTCTTTCAAGCTTTACAGTTTATTTTTTGACATCTCGAACGATCTGATTTCAATTGTAGAAGGAAAAACTAACCATTTTTTGAATGAGTAAGGAAAAGAAAACGTTGAAAATATTTTGTTTATCTTTATGATTGTACCATCGGTTTATCCTTGAGTTTTATTTTTCTTTACAATCATATTTCATTTCTTATTTACTAAATATTTTAATGAAAATCAAAAACTAAACTTGAAATAAAATAGACTCATGATCCATTTTCCATTATTGGTGCATAGACAGCAGTGGAGCAGTGATCAAATATTACGATGCTAAAAAAATATTCTATTTTCTATTCAGGCTAACTCATATTTTAGCAATTCATTAACAAAAGAATTAACACACAAAAAAAATATTCTTGCTAGATTTTCTGCTCTTTTCAACAAGCTGTGAAAATATCAAATCATCGCCTCATAACTATGATTAGATCAAAGAAAAAACTAAGAATAATTTTTCAACCTGAGAAAGATCTAAGTTACATTTTCATAAATTATATTCTCGTTCATGGTCAGAATTATGGCTATATCAAAAAGATAAATATTTATCAACATGACGAGTATCAAACAATAAATTGTTTGTAAGCATCACGATTTTTCTGCACTACTTTAGATTAGACCATAGTTTTTCCTAATATACAGATGTACAAATCGAGTCAAATAATGCTTAAAATGAATATCTATTTAAATTAGAACTTATTGATTTTTTATCTAAATCTAAACATAGTTTTTGTTGCAAAAATTAGCAATATTAGCAAGCGGAATACATTTTAAATGAATTTCTTTACAAAATTTCATGAAAAATACACATGGTTTGTAAGCAAGCTGTCTTAGTAGATAGATATCTGAAATTTGAATGCAGGATACGCATGATACATAGTAGAAGAATACGTTATTTTCTATTGATTAAAATTGAAATGAAAATTTCCACATTGTATTAATTCACACTCATTTCAATAAGTATGTTATCACTATATTTTATATTAACCGTCACGTTAACTAGCAAAGGAAAGGTTCCATATTTCGAATCCATTCAAAACTCATTAAAAATAGCAATAACTCGATTTTAAGACAATATTGATAATATGCTGTCTGATGGTCTTGTCAACTTCCTTTGCTTACGAGTTCAAACTTTGAAGTTCTCTAATCTGTGACAGATCGATAGATATCCATAACGAATATAATTATTTCTTAATATAAACTTACGTATAAGATCATGAAGTACCGTGTATCTCGTATTATTTGCTGGTATTGTATATTTCGCATTAAGAATTCTTAATTTTGCTGAATCTTCAAATGGATGATTAATAAAACATAGATAATACAGAAGACAGCCAAGTGCCTAAAATCTTTCAGTATTGCAAGAAAAAATTCTTTTTTTCAAATTTATTTCTAATACCCAAATATCAACTTGCTCATTAATTGGATGATTATTATATGTATCAAGCATTTCCGGTGCTCTATACATTGGTGTTGTTACTTTAGTCATTTCATCTTCAACGTAATCTCGTTTTTTAACTGTCCATGTTTCATCAGGTAGAAAAACTTTAGTTGTCGCTGAGCCAAAGTCGCATAATTGAATAAAACCTGTTGATGTTAAAAGACAATTCTCAACTTTTAAATCTCGATGTATTATAGGTGGCTGTTGTTCGTGCATATGTTTAACAGCTCGACAAATTTGATAAAATATTTGTACAACTTGTTCAACTTCTAATGGGTTTTTACGGTATACAACTCGTTCATATAATCGACCACCTGAACAATATTCTGTAACAAGAAGATATTCTGTACGACGTAATGTTGTATCTTGATTTGATGCAGCTGCAATATACGGAACGATATTTGGATGTCCATTTAATTTTTGCTAAATATAGATATAAAAATACCTATAGACAAGAAGTGTATACATAAAAAATATACAGTTTGATCCTCATTCAATATTCCTCAGTGGTAATTTGTTTGACGTAGAATCTTACAAGTCATTTTCTGGTGACAAGCGTAAATTATTTTCGCAACAACTAGACTTATCCTATGCTCAAATTGTAGACCTAAGCTTTTGGATCAGATATGAATGATTGATGTTTTCAATGAGTATCGTAATTATATGTTCTGAAGTTAACTCACTAAGAGTGATTAATCGATGTAAACTTTTAACTTTACAGAGTTAAATTCTTTTAGATAAAAGTAACCAATAGACATGTTTGACTATCGTATCTATCCAATATGGATTTCTGATTCATAAAATTTAGTGCCAACTTTTGAACAAAAACTTTTAACTAAATATTTCAGAAATAGTTTCATTTTGTGGTAAAACAATTCTACTTATTATTCTACAGTACAAAGAATTCTAAATGAAAAGTAATGAAGAAAAACAAAAATCATACTAGAAATGATATTTCTTGAGCAATAGCTTTTTTTGCACTATCATCTGCAGCGAATAATCTCTGAAATAAAACAAAATTGCGTTTTTTTGTCTTTTTTTTCTTATAGATAGATTATTTTACCTTCAATGCATATTCTTTATTGGTTTTAACATCGTAAGCAATAAAAACTAATGCATAGCCGCCTTGAAACGAAAGATATATAGTACAAAAAAATTAATTTTAAAAGAAACTCACCTTCCGCTATTTGATTTCCAATTTTCAATCGAATACTACCAACATCAACAATTTGTCCAGTAAAATCACTTTTAACACCTGCACTTGCTTGTGTTGATAATCCACCAGGAAATCCTATATTATTTGTTATGCGAGCGCTTGATCCAGCGCCAAATGCTGCATCAATGGCCGATTTAAATATATCGACCATTTAGAAACTTTAAAATATAAAATAATCTAGAAAAAGAAAAGAAAAGAAAAGAAAAGAAAAGACACAATTAAGGTTTTTTAATAACATATAGTGGAAGGGAAAATATATATCTCTTTGAAGAACAGAGTACTGTTTAAGAGAAAATTAAGTTATTGGCTTATAAGAAGCTGAAGTGGATTTTCAAGTAAATATTTGAGTTCATTCGAAAACCGAGCCATTGTAGCTCCATCAACCACACGATGATCAGCTGACCAACTAACAGTCATAATGGAACGAACACGACAGGAACAATAATCATCATCACTTGAGCTTGATGAAGAGTTTTCATCATCATCTTCATCTGGAACTACTCGTCGCTACATATTTAGACATAAAATAATTGTAAAATTTATAAAATGCAGAGAAAACAAAAGATTTATCTTACCGCTATTTTTCCAAGGGCACCAATAGCTACTTCAGGCAAAAGAAGAACAGGTACTGCATATGTTCCACCAATCTATTCAAATTAGAAAACTTCAAATTAAAACGTTTACCGAACTATTTTATTTGTGAAGACAAACTTCATCTTTTTTCTTGACTATTTCCTTTTAGTTTGTGATTTATATATTTTGCAATAGCCTAGATTTTCTATTTTTTTCTTTTTGAAAAATTACTATTGGTGTATTGCTACAAAATAAATTTTATCGTTTTGTCTTATCATGTTGCATACAAAGATTGATTTCATCAAATTCTTGAGTGATAAAATTTGATAGTATTAACGTGCTTTTTATTGACATATGACATGAAATCATTGAGAAAGAGACAAATGTCACTAATGTAAACAATTAGACAAGAAAATGTGGATCATGATTAGAACGTGATTCATTTTTTTTTCAATACAATTTAATCTAGTTACTCTCAATCATACATACATCGAAAGTTTGTTACTAGCATTCTCAGTACAACCATAGGTTTAACTTGAATAATAAAATTTTTTATTTATTCGTCATTCGTTTTGTTTTACATGTTTGACTACACTTGAAGAATTTTTCTAATTTTCATTTGACAAACAATAAGCGCATAAATAGATTGAAAATCAACTGTTACGTTTACACATATTTTACTGCTTTTATTTTATTTCGAGAATATATTTGGAAAGCGTAAACTTCTTTTTTTCCTGTTGTTTCAACTCATTTCGAACAATTTACTGGAAATATGTGTTCATGAGATCTCTTTTACAAGTTTCAGCGATCGTACACTCAACTATGATATCGTATCAAAAACCTCTGATATTAAAGAAGCTTTTCTGTCGCTGATACAGCCACTTAGTCATCATTCGATAATTATAAGTATTCGTTGCGCAGTCTAGAAATTTCATTAGAATCAGTATTGTATCTATAGTGAGAGCTTAGATGATCGTGTCCTGCCGGAGTTTATTGTTCGTTGACTTCTTTCTTTAGCTTTGAACTTTTGAAGAGAGCTATTTCTCGTCTCTGAATTTTAATTTTCTTATTAGATAGAGAAGCCTGAATAGAACAGTAGTCAAAATGTACTCTATCACTTTCATAGTCGTCAATATATTACAAATTTATTTGGCGAAGATAGTAGTTTATGCATATCCTACATTAACTATACTGAAATTTTGTTTTGAATGAGATTGATAAATGATTCTCATATAAAAATCAATAATTTTTAGAATTCTTTTCAAATTCATTAATTATATTATTCTCATTCGTTCACTTTGAATAATCGACTTTAAAACTGTTTAAACTTCTCAATAAAATTTTCATTTATCCTTCTGATGATTACTGAAAATGTTCAGTCAACTTTGTTTGGTTACACATGTAATCCTAAAAATGAAAATTTTTCTTACAGCTCCAATATTCGATAACGAAAAAGTTCCTCCTGTCAGATCCGTTGTTGATAGTTTTCCGACTTTTCCAAGTTGTTGTAGACGATTAAGTTCATTAGCAATTTGCATTATGGATAACTGTTGAACATTTTTAATATTTGGTACTAGTAATCCATCTTTGGTATCCATTGCAATACCAATATTATGCGAACCCTATCAATGAAATTATATATGTAAGAAAGACAAAAACAAATATCTTTTAAAATCATACTTTGTACGTAATATTTTCACATTTAGCATCAACATGAGCATTAAGAATCGAATAATTATTTAAAGCTTGTGAACATGCTTTTATTATAAATGGTAAATAAGATATTTTAATATCTTTGCTTTGTTTTTTTAATTGTTGTCTTAATTTGACCAATTCTGTCATATCATACTCGTCAGAGTATGTAAAATGGGGTACGGTATTAGCCTGAGTCATAGTTTTAACCATTGCTTTACGAATGCCTTTTATTGGTTCATTTCGATCGGCAACTGGAGTTGTTGATGGTGGTTGAGTTTTAATTGTTGGGGTTTGTTTCATTGTTATTGGAGAGGGTGGTGGACCTTTTGAAAAATTAAAAAGATTTTCAACTTTTTTATTTTAAAATAATAAACAAACTGATTGGAGTTGATTTTAATGGTGTTGACATTGCTTTTGCTGATGGTGATGACGTTTCAGATTTATAATTTAATAAATCTTCTTTTAAAATTCTACCATCTTTTCCTGTACCTTGAACATCATTTAATGAAATCTAGTTTGAGATAAACAAAACATATTATCAATATGAAAACGAATGTCTTATTTCTTTTTGTTTCATTTACTTGTAATTCTTTAGCCATTCGTCTAACAGCAGGTGTAGCCAAAAGATTTACTGATGGAGTCTTATTGAATACTTCGACTTCCACTGGTTCTTCAGGAGTTACAGATGAAACTTGATAGATAAAAAAAAGCAAGACCCTTTTATTTTATTCAACTTATTCAATAACCCTAAAATTTACTTTTAGTTTCAACTGGTATATTATTTCCTTGTTCAAGTTTAATATCAACAAGTGGTTCACCAACTTTAGCTGTATCACCAACATTATAGTAAAGTTTTAAAATTTTCCCATCATAACGAGATGTTATTGTTACATTTGCTTTATCAGATTGGACTTCGCAAATTTTATCGAACTGTTTAACATGCTCACCAACTTTTGTATACCTGAAGATTTTTGTTTTAATTAAAAGAAGATTTTAGAGAAAAACTAAATAAAAGTAAACAAACCATTCTTTAACTTCAACTTCTTGTATACCTTCACCAATATCAGCTAATTTAAATTGAACGACACTCGATAATCGAGATGTTGATAGTGAAAATGAACGGCAACCAAAATGCTAAATATCAACATTTCAATACATACGAATTTTTCTAATAAGATTTGTACCGATATGGAATTGTTTAACGAGGCGATTGGAACAATATTCGTTTGTTTTTTGAATGTATAAATAAAGGGAGCAGTTTGACTAAATGAAGATGAAGGTCGTTGAAGCATTCGTAAAGAAAATGTAACACATCGAAGTGCTGCATTATTATGTGCATATCGACCTAACATCATTTTCAAAAATCTTAAAATATGTGTTATATCATAAAATGCAATCTTTTAGAAAGCCTTAAAAAGTTATTTCAATATAATTAAGATGTGCTGAATGAAAATAAAAAAAATAAAATTAGAGGTATAGTCCACTTAGAGCATGATTATTGAAAGTTTGCGTTTGCAGAACAACATAATATTTAATTCGTCTGTAGTTCGTCCATTGAAATCCATCTTATTTAGCTTCATTGATTCTTTCACTTTTTTGTGAACACAATAAATTAATTGACAAGCATGGAAATATTATATTCTGATTTTTGTTAAAAAAAAGGATCCGACACTTTTGTGCTATAGGTGTCGGTATACGTTATTGCCATGAAGCTCAAATGTTAAACGATTAAAATGTTTAATATGTGTTTTTTTCGATCAATTTGATTGTTTCTATGTCAAAAAACAATTAAATCGCTTGTCGAAGGCTTTAATTGAGGATTTCTTTTCCACATATATTAAACAATAATCATTTAATAATTCACTGATTGACATCGATTTTTATTAAAATAACATACTTCGCATTAAAATAAAAAAATTGCTGATAATATGTAATAGTCAAGATGTTTTAAATAGACTATTTGATGTTGTATCAATTAAATTTCTTGTTTAAGTATATTATATAAGATTATATCAATAATTAAGTAACATTTCTTCGTTCAGCCATGGTGAGTTATCCATAAATCTTGTAAAAATAGAAAAATTACCAACAAAATATCGAAAATTTGCTATTTTCAATAGAATATGCCATCGATGTGTTATCGTTTTAATCATGTACAGATTTTATTCCTGAATTTAAGAAAAAAATTATTTTGTATGGTATATCAACAGTTGGTATAAAAAATGCAACTTGAAATCATTTTGGTGTTGGTTGATTGATATGAATTGAAAAGAAAAGGAACTTTTGTCTTGACAAAATCGTTTTCATTTTATAAGCACTAGAAAATATAGAATTACGGTTCCAAGAACGGTCGACTTAGTTTATATTAAAGATTTATATTCAGCTGCATCTTTTTACTAGTAACAAATGATGATCAAATTTCACACAATATTTGGATGTCTTCAAACACGAATAAATCTTTATTTTCTATGACATTCTTCGTTATGATGTTAACAGTGGATAATGTCATGCTCTAGTTTTTTGCTTAAGTCTATTAAAACAAAAGTTTCTTGTAATAGATGAAAATAAGAATGCAACTAGTCTATCAACATTGTCCAGTCAAAAATATTATTTTATCTAGTAGGCACGTACAACATCAGCTTTTTATTGTCATGATTAATTTATGCGTATGTATCATAGAACTTTTGATAAGTACCAGAGATGCCCACAGGACAGGGTTACCCTGCCCTGAACAGCAACAGGGTAGGCCAGGGAAATTGCAGGGCAGGACAGGGTGAGTCCTTATACCCTGCAAAATGAAAACCCAGTTGTTTGGATTTCCGTTCTGAAGAAATTTTTCCTTTAGTTCGTAAGACTCAAAAATAAGAAAATAGACTCCACAGAACGTCACAAACTGATAGTCAGAAGTTTCTCTGTCTGACCTGGCCCATATAAGCCACGACTCGTTTCCACTAAAGCTGCTCAATCAGTGGTCGCCGGTTGACTCGTTTTTTACGCTCGATAGAGACAAGTGTTTCATGAGTTTCCACACAAGCCATTTCGAAATATTTTGTTCTTTTCTGGAGATAATAAAATTTTTCTAAGAGGATCCTCATCAAAAATTAACATATTCGTGATTTTTTTCTGAGACTTATACCTCTTCAAGAAAATGTTCATTTTGCTTGAAATTTTCAATATAGATCTATCGTTAGTTGAGATATTTTCCCTGAAAATATGAGCTCAAACTGATCGATTATTGATGAGTTGACCTCGAGCACCGGTAGCATTGAAAAAATTCCGTTTTTTTTGTATTTTGTGAATGTACATTTTCATTTAGTACATAATACTGGCGAGCTAAAATTTTAACCACAGAGATCTCCTTGACTAGGTCCGGTAAAAACTTTAGCTCTCCTGTTAGTCCTCATCGATCGGAAGCCGTTGTAAAAATGCGATTTTCATCAAAATCATGGTGATGGAGAAATCACATTTTTCATGAGGATTCCATACAAAAATGAAACTAGCTGGAGAACTAAATTTTTTACCAGACCTAGCCAAGGAGATCTCTGTGGTTAAAATTTTAACTTACCAGTATTATCTACTAAATCTAAATGTTCATCCGCAAAATAAAAAAAAAACAGAATTTATTCAATGTTACTGGAACTCGAGGTGAACTCATCAATAATCGATCAGTTTGAGCTCATATTTTCAGGGAAAATACCTCAACTAAAGATAGATCTACATTGAAAATTTCAAGCAAAATGAATATTTTCTTTAAGAAGTATAAGTCTCAGAAAAATCGAATGTCTCAAGAATGGAACAAGATTTTTGAAACAGTTTTCGCATGAATTCATCAAACACTTGCATCTATCATCATAAAAGTACCGATTAAATCGACCACCGCTGATTAAGAAGGGCCCATCGTGGCTTGTCTGAGCTGACTCTAAAACAAAATATTGTTCTATAGTACAATGAGAAACATGTCTTTTTATTTTGAAATGTATCAAAAATTACAATACAGACACTATTTCAATTCAACAGGGTACCCTGCCCTGCCCACTCAAAACCGACAGGGCAGGGACAGGACGCATCTTAAATTTTTTCATTTTTTTTCAATAGGGCAGGGCAGGGCAGGACAGGGTGCAAAAGGTTGCCATATGGACATCTCTGAATACACACATATGTCAAGAAAGTATAAGGCTGCATGATCATGTGACAGCATGCGCCATCTATGAGTGAAGTGAAATAAATCATTTTTTCTGAAAAAATTTCATTCTGAACAATTACTCATTATGGATTTTATACTGTAAATTTAATTTTTTGAATTGATTTGATTATTGTTAATGACAGTCGTCAGGTAGAGTCTCTACTTTAACAACAGAATCAATTATGGTTTGTCATTTACATGTTGTGGTTGTTGAGGATAAAACGCATACTCATAAAATATCTGTTGTTCTGAACTCGTAGTTAATTACATTATTTGTTAACTCAAATCTAAATACAGAATCAGTCTTTTGAAATGGCTGCAACACTTGTAAAACCACCTAATTCAACTTATACATTTTCCAGTCAACCTAAAGCAGTCCAGCAACAAGGACAACGGCAAAAATTCCGACAACCTGTTACGAATCCACCGTAAGTTTATGATTATTTCAATTTTTGTTTTGTTTATAATGTAATGCATCTATGTTGATAAAGAGATGACAGTAATACGTTTGGAAATCTTATGTACGATCGACGTGTTATTCGTGGAAATACCTATGCACTGCACACACTTCCAGCGGTAACTTTTGATTTAGGTTAATGAAAATTTTTATTCGATTTAAATAGCATGCACAACCAGACCCAATCGAAGTTCAACGCCAACAAGAAGCTAAACGACGCGCTTTAGCGCGACGAAAAGCACGCGAACAAATTCGAACAAGAACACCTGAACCTGTACATAATCGAAAGAATATCGATGTTCAAACAGAACTTTATCTTGAAGAACTCAGGTAAACATTGTTATTTTAAATTTCAGAAGAGAATATATTTCACGTTTAGTTGACAAATAATTATTCACCACATCTATATTTCATAGCGTGACTTGATATAATATCTTTTTATCTCACAAATAATATATTTTTCATGTGTCTATATATTTATATCATCAGTTTCATGTCACAAAATAGAGAGAGATTGCAGGAATAGATATAACCAACAATTTCTTTTGTTTATCGTATAAATAACATGAAACATCAGTTAGAGAAGAATATTGTAATTGAAATGATTGGTATTATCGATCTTAAATAGAACATCAGTAACGTTTTTCGCATACTACTGTGTATTCTATCTTGCAAGAAGGTCAAAAGAGTTTTTGATAACAAAATAAAATGATGAGCATGATCAATAACTGACAAAATGACAACATTTATGTCAATAGTAATTGAGCCACTGGAAATTTTTCTTGATTTAAAATTAAGTAATTAATGATTAGTTTTAAAGCAAATCTTTAAATTGAATATAGCAGAATATTTTCATGTATGAAAACTTGTAATATTAATAAATAAATAGATTTTTTAACTAGTCGAATTTCATAGAGACGGATGCTCTTTGTTTTAACCTTTTTCAATACAAATTAAAAGACTCAGGTTTTTATTTGTTAACCATTATTTAGTAGACAACAACTTAGACTAGCATTTGTCTTGTTGAAAATTTAGTGATCGTATTGAAGAAGCTGACGTTGACGTTCAAACAGATGCATTTCTTGATCGACCACCGTCACCATTATTCATTCCGCAATCAACTGGCAAAGATATATCTACACAAATCGAATCAGGCGATGTAAATTTAATATTCGTATTTTTTCTCGAAAGGTTTTTATAATAAATTTTAGTTATTTGATTTTGATCTTGAAGTAAAACCGATTGTTGAAACCTTAGTTGGTAAAACAGTAGAACAAGCATTAATTGAAGTTGCTGAAGAAGAAGAATTAGCTGAAATTCGTGAACAACAACGCGACTATGAAGAAATACGTAATGCTGAATTAATCGAATTACAAAGATTAGAAGAACAAGAAAGACGCTTGAGAGCTGAAAAAGATCGTCGAATGAAACAAGCACAAGAAGCACTTCGATTAGAGCAGGATGTTGCACAAAAGATAGCAGCAAGAGCTTTTGCCAAAGCTTATCTACAAGATCTTGTTCCAAGTGTATTTAACAATCTAAGAGAAAATGGATACTTTTATGATCCTGTTGAACATGGTATTTATTTGATTGGAAACTAAAGCATATTTTTTTCCTCATTTGATTATTTCTTTTCGTAGAAATTGAAACATCATTTATGCCTTGGTTAATGGAGAAGACAATGACACAAGTTAATCAATTGGTACTTGGCCGAACTATACTTGATTCGATCATTCGAGATGTTGTTAATCAACGTATTGATGATTATCAAAAATTAGAAGAAACACTTAGACAAGTAAAATTCTAGGCTTAATTTGTGTGAAAAAGTAAAGAATCTTTTTATTTTTTTTTAAGATGATTGAAGGTGGTATTGATATGGGTACATCAACAGGTGAGATTGGTCATGGTTTACAACAAGATATTGACCGACAAGGATCGGGCCTAGAAGAATCAACTTTAAGAACTGAAAATAATCCAAATGAAGGAGGTGAAACTACAGGAAGTGTCTTGCAGAATGGTAAATGGAGCTTTTAAATTCTCGAAATTTGAATTAATTTTCATCCTTGTTTTAGACGACGTTGGGGATGAGCATGAAGAAGAACAAGTAAATGCAGGTGAAGATAATGCTGACGAACAGTGATTTATGAAACAAAGAATTCTATTATTTCGAATTTAATTTCTACGGTTGTCTACGTCTTTATTTTATCATCAAAAAACAAAATAAACATTTAATTTCTTTCTTCTTAATTTATATAGTTTATGTTCTACACAACGAATTTAACGCAAATTCATTTTGTTTTGTTTATATTTTATTGCGTTGCAATGTCTTAGATTCAATGAGAACAAAAATGAACACTGTCATAATCACTTGCGTGTCTGTTTATGCTCGTTTGTCCTGTGTAGAACAGAATTTCATGTTTTTTGCCAATGCATTAGCTCATTAAAATTAGAATTATATAATATTGTTCCACATTATCACATTTAATAATAACAATCAATCGGAATACTCATCGAAGGACATTTAAAACTATTCATGAATAATCTTTAGAAAAAGTACAGAAAATGAGTTAGTTAAAATCGTTCATTTTTACACAGAGGATCAGACAAATCTATTATGGAGATTATTGATAATATTGTATTTGCTGCTTTTATAAAAAAAATTTCCTCGGAATTTTGAAGTTGAATTAATTTCTAGAGTCATTTCGGAAAAAATCTAGTTACGACTTTGCAAGTATATCATGTAAAAATGAATGATCTCCATCTATTATACTAATACTAAAATTAGCACAGTAAACTATTAGGCATTTTAAAAAAATTGACAATCAGAATGGGCGACCCAGATCATCATTTTAACTTAAACGAAGATGGAGAGAGCCAACATAATGCGATTTTTATCTGAACGTCCTCTACAGATCAGCCTTGCCAATTATAAACAGAATATAGAATTTTTTTTGTTCGCTGATTATTATCTGTTTTCGCATAAATAACGAATAATTCAATGACACTTCACCGTATATGAACTTATTGATTAAACTAATTTATTGTGAAAATTTCAGTATTCTTTAAAAGTATTAAATATATATATATTAAGAAAATGGATGGCAAAATTCATAGAAACAACATCTTTAATTAACTGAAAATCATAAATTTTCATGTAAGAAAAGTTATCTAATTCTTGTTCATTTTATTAAGTATTTGTCAATGTTCTATAGAGATTAATTGAAAATCAAAAAGGAAACCTTCACCATGAATAAAACACACAGAAAGCATAGAATATGTTTTATTCTAGTATTACTTAATTCTATGTCCCCCTATTTGAGAACGAACTAACATATTCTTTATAATTTTAAGCTTTCACAAGTTCAAAATATATTTCTAATGAAAACGATCATATATAGAAATTAGCAGAATTGCTATTACTACCAAGTCATCATGGAAAGATGCTATATCGACACTCGAACTTAATCTCATCATTTTTAGTTTTCGATCAGTTTCAAGCGAAAACATTTCTGGATTTAGATTTCTAATTTTAACTGGCTTGTTGAAACTACAAATAGCATGAATTATGAGCAGATATTATCAGATTGATTTCCATTTGAAAAACTACCTTAAGATAATAATTTTAATTCTTGAATCGACTCTATGATTGTGATTGCATATCATGAACATGATATAGATTTCATATTGAAGTCCAATCAGTGAATATCTCTCAGCTATTAGATGGAAAAGGTATTTGTCCGCTTAGTATTTATTTCTTTTTAGTCCTTAAAACGACTTGAGTAGAATTTTCAGTAAATGCTAAAGTCATTAAAAAAAAGTGTTGATATTTCTTTTAAAAGTTTGAACTCAACAAATTCTTTTATTTTGTCAAACAGGAAATTGAAATAGTTTCTAAAATAAAATAGATTTTAACTAACTTCATATGACAAATCTTGATCAAAGAATTCTGAAAATAAAACTTCGATCTCATCACAGAAGTTTCTCACATGATTAAATGATTCTTCAATTAAGACTGTATTGACCCTGCAGATTTGAAATAGACATAAATATATGAGGAAAAGGTTCGACTCATAGTTCATTGAAGCAAAGATGCTGCAATTTTCAGATTACTTTGACTGCAAGCCGTAAGCACGCCCATGAAGACGATTAAAATGTATCCATCGTATTTTAACTATGACATTTCTATTTTTGCAAAAACAAAATACTAATGATACGAGAATAACTATTTTATAATAGCTTTAAACGTTTACCTTAATGCTGTCGTAAAATACAGCTATGAGGAAGTTTTATTATTTGCATAATCGTACCCACCAACACGTTTGATATTCTCTATTTCGGATTAGGAGTTAATGAAAAGATTTGAAACATTCATGATAAACTATTTATCTCTGCGATATTTCTCATTGAAATTAAAAAATCGTGGTGTTTTCATCTACAAACTAGAAATTCGAATAATTTTTCAAATAATAATAGTTCAGTAGCACCTAAAAGATGCAAATGTTTATCGTTTCAAAAGCAATTGATCACTAATAGACTTTTCTGATTAGCTTGAGCTGTTAAAATAGGTGGCTCGAATTCAATGAATAGACTCGACTACGCATAATACACCATATAACTTTGTATCCATTAACAGAAAGCATAGAATATGTTGTCATATGTAATTCACTTGTAACACAAAAAATATTATGCAAAAATTATACCATTTGATTGCGCCCTCTTAGTTCCTAAGCAATAATTGGACAATTCTATATCATGGGACGTGACCATCTTATTGTGTGTTGTGCGATAAAAAGATCGAAAGATATACTGATAGATTGGATCGTCGATTGATAGTTTTTCAAAAGAATGGCAAATAAAAATGAAATAGCTCCATCTGAAACTTCTGTACGTATATCCATACCGTATTTAGCAAATGTTATTGTTAGTTTACCTTTAATTGGTATGGTTGCAAGTTTTATAGCATCAGTGCTATTTACGAAAGAACAAATCTTTGAATCTGAATGTGGGGTAAGTTGAGAAACAAAGAAAAACAAAATATGCTTTTATTTAAAAAAACCTGTTTCATAGTCTCGAAATTTTATTCCATCATTCTCATCAGTTATCGGTGTATCGCCTGGAAAATATATATGGCGTATGGCAATTGCATTTCATTGCTTTCCTCGATTTTTAATTGCGTCCCTTTATCATAATCAATTCAAAACAAGTTTATCAAAAGTAAAATATGATTCTCGATTAAAATATTTCATATTGAAACAATTAATAAGTTTAAATACATTTTTCGAATTATGTGAAGTATTTGGCCTTATATTATTATCCTATATATCGTCGAAAGAAAATTATAGTTTACATGAAAAAGCTTTCATTCTATTTATGTTATCATCAACATTTCGCATGATAACATGTTTAATCTTATTTCGACATTTATTATTCAAATTATGGTTAAATAATGATGTTGATGACAAAAATAAAAAGTTTCGTCTTCAAACATCGTACCAATGGAAAATGCGTTTATTTTGTTCAGCATTTATTTTTTCTCTTTTGCTAATATTTGCATATGTAAGACATACAAGCAAGTGTTCCAATAATATTGGACAACCATCAACAGCTTGGAGTTATTTTTCTGCTTGTGAATATATTATTTGTTGTCTCATTATGGGTTATCATGCAACAGTAAGTTTGACCAATTATTCAAGTAGTATTAAAATTACATGTTATTTTTAATTTTCAAAACGAAGGTTTGTTGGGATTTTAATCATTTTGAATTAACGATTTACAATAAAACAACAGCAAAATTAAATTATTCATTCATGAAATCAGAAGGAGAGATTGAAAATGAGCAAAAAGATATTCATTCATCTAGATGAAATCTAATATGAACAAAAAGAAACCAGATCTCTTCCACCATAAGATACACTATTAACGTTTTTGTATTTCTATGTAAAATCTATTCTCTTGGTGTGTATTAGTTTTATATGAATGCAGCTTTTGTATATGGCACCCATTCATGCAAACTCCTTTTTTTATTGATTCTGTTTGAATTTAGAAAAAGAATGGAGACAAGTTCAAAAATTTTATTGCAATCATTTTTCAAACAAACAAAATTTCGATTTAAGTAGAAGTCATTCTTATCGTTCCAGTTTTTCATACTGTTCATTTTCTTCCAAATGCAATCATAATTTTATTTTTCGTTTCTATTCGCTATTAATGATAAAAATATCAATTCGAATACACTGCTGGATTGTCTTATTAAAGAAAAAATCTAAAAAAAGAGACTTGTCCACAAATTAATGGAGGAAACTTTCACAGTTTATTTTCTCAGTACACAGCATATGTATATTTGTTAATTATTAATTCACTATATATATATGAGTTAAGAATTTTGTTCAACAGTAGCAAAAGAATAGAGATTTTTTCTCATACAAAATAAAATATTTGATTAAACAGAGTATTGTAGTCGATTAAGTTTATTGTTATCCATGTAGAAAATGAATATTTCACGCTTCAAATATCTAGTTTCTTGCGTGAACCAATGGATTCAAGAAGCAATTGTATTTATGATAAATCTTGTTCTGTATGCAAAAAGCATAAATGTAACAAATGTTTTTTTCATCTACAGTTCTAATTTACATAAAATACATGACTTACGTCAATCTATGAAATTTTGTTTTCGAAAAGTCTCCATACTTAGTATCCTACATGGACTTTTACAATCTTAAATGAAAACAAAAAAATTATCTGCTTTGTTAATTCAGTGTTAAGAACTTTGTCAATAGACTCTATGCAATTTCGCTATTAAAAAATGTTTTACTAACGAACTTTTGGAATTCTCACTCCTTCAATACTCAATCATCATATTTGAACTAAACTGATAATATTAGAATCTTCTAGAAGTGTTTTTTTCTTTCATAGAAATAAATCTTTGCCCAATAATAATAATACGTGAGGGTCAAAAAAACGTTTTCTTTTCAATTTTCATTCATGAGGTTGAATTTAAATAAAATTTGACTCTCTTCCTAAAAAAACGATTGAATATGATTGCTTTCATCAGTATAAATAAATTCACCTAAATATACAATCAATAACTTCTAGGTATTTCCCATGAATCTCATTACACATTTTATCTTCAAATAGAAGAAATATACATATCTGAAAATCAATATATTTGCTTGAATGTACGTAAAAGTTTGCGTATAAACAACTGACGATGAAGACCGATGTTCATAGAAAATATCATCTGAATTTTTTCAATTTCTCTTTTTTATTTGATACATATTTTATTCTTTATGACTCGAAAAACACAAGAATAGTTTTATGTGCGAAATCCAAAATTTATAATTTCGACGTTGATGAATGAATAAAAACTTTCAAATTTTCTTAATGTTTAGGGAAAAATTGATTTATTTCAATTCACCCTTAATAGCGATGCACATTGTTGTCTATTTTGATAAGTGACCGTTTGATTACTTCGTCGAAGTAAGTTTTTATTTTTCTTCGCATTACTACTACAGTATGATACTAAATCTTAAATTCAATATTTTTATTTTACGAAAAGGAAGCTGGCGAATTACCCTTCATTCTTTATTTTTATGTTTTGTTTTTATAATATTGAATGAATGAGAAAGAAAAGGATACATAGAACAACAATATGTACAACAAACAAAATAAGAAAAGCAAGAACAATGATGAGATAGAAATCACGGCGGTTCGCATTATTTTAAAATCGTTATGAGAGGAGAAAAACATAGATAATTTTTGTTCGTTGATAATGAGACTCGTTTCCTTGTTGCCTTTTCTTTTATGCTTCGGTATCTTCATGACCACTTTCATGTCCTTTAAGACGAATACGTGCGAATTCTTCAAAGATGAAATCATCGTCATGACCCGGAATATCAGAACTTAAAAAACAAAACTTTCAATTATTTTTTTCAATCAAATTAATCAAGACAAACTTTGTATCAAGTTGAATTAGGTTATGATCAACAGGTACATCTATTAGAGGTTGATCATCAGTATTTAGTTGATTTGATATAAATTCAAGTTGACGAGATGGTGAAGGAGTAGGAGGAGGCTTTGGATGAGTTAATGTAAATGGTAATTCCACTGCCAAGTCTCTTTAATTAAAAATCAAGATGTAAACGTAGATTTTAGTTTTGAAATTTAGACAATTTCAAACTTACGCGCCCATTGCAACAATTATTTTAACTTTAACTTTGTATTGCACGATAATCCCAAGATTTTCTTTTTGTGTTGTACTTCGGATTCTATTTCGAATAGATTTTGATTTGTTTAATCGTTTAAAATTCAAGAAAAAAAAGAACATACATAGTCGATGATGCTAAATTTGTATCTTCATGCTTTAATTTTCCATCAAGTGCTAAACCTCTTTTATCTTTGTTATTCGCCAATAATGGTATTAGTGAATAAACTTTTGTTAGATTTGAACATGGAGTTATTGGAAATCCTTCACTAAAAGAAGTAGTCTTTTAAATTTAAAATATTCAGATGAAGAAAAGAAAAGAGTAAGAAAAAGCTAAAGCATAATTCAGTAAATAGCATACTCAGTTTCTAATTCGGCGATAGTGCATTTGTAATGAGCATTTGTAAACATACAAATTTCAGCATATTGCTTAACTAGAAGATATATTTAAAGCATACAACATGAAATAACAACAACGATTAAAAACAATGATTAAATACAACTATAATCAATATCGACTTGATAAAAAAAAGCCAAAACCTACCTTGATTCAATAGCAGCTACATCACACTTATACTGTGTTGACGAGTACAAGCAAATTTCAGCATATTGAACAACTATATTGATAATTAGGGACCACGATATTTTAGTGGTTTTTTTTTCATAATCAGAAGTTTTTTTCTCTTTTTTTTTTCATGTGAAAAATTTTCTCATTTACTTACCAGAGATACGAATTTTTCTTAATGTTTTGTTAGAATTATTTGTAACAACAACGTTAACATTGATGCTTTCACCATGATAATACATCTAAATTTACAAGTAACATAAACTATTATTTTCAAGAAAGAATCAAAAATCTAAATCTAAGAACCTCTTTATCAAGTGTGCATTCAAGATGTAATGGCGCAGGTGACATCATAAAATCTTTATGTGCCTCAATAACAGGTTGTGGTGCAGGAGTTTCTGGTGCGTATGTTAATTTTCTTATTGCTAATCTAACAGAACTTCGTTTATGTGATTTATCTTCACTTGTTTCGGCTACATAAGTTTTTAATTCATAATCAACTCCACAAGGTTTTCCAGTGTCACCAGCAGCTGGCTGTAATGTTACTGAAGCTGGAGCATTTTGGGGAATCTAAGAAAAACATATTTCGAAATCAAACAACTTTTTATTTGAAAAAATTAATTTACTTCAAAATAAAATGGATACGCATTAGGTCCTAATTTACGTAGTAGACGTTGTTGTAAATGTGTCAATGGCTTTTTTTGATCATCAATGGGAGGATAAATTTGTTGTGTTGAACAAAACAAATCTTTGCGAAATGTTAAACCAAGTACATCGAGATCTTCTCGACCATATCGAAAAGCTATTTCATAGAAAGTGGTTTTTCCTTCGTAATTAACAATGATAATATTGTAATCATACCTGCTAAGACAGAAGCATAAACTTTACGATTTTTCACATACTCTGGATCGACTAGAACTACTCCATCTAAAAGAATTTTATCAGATGTTTAATTTAATTTTACCTTAGAAAATAGCTTCAACATACCTATTGGGTCTATATGATCCATGTAGTCGACAAAATCTCGTCGTCCAAGGTAGCATGTTATCTAAAAAAAAATAAATTTCGATTATGCAGACAAAAAGTTTTATCAAAATAAAATCATACCTTTGAATTAGGGCTACTTTTTTTGAACACTCTGAAAAAAAAATATATATATATATATTTATATTAGATACTATTGTTTTAAAATTTCCATTTTCTGAACGAAATCAACAAAATAAAAATATCTTGCAATAAAGAATAAAACAAAAAGAATTAGTAGAATGTCTTATTCTCTCTATCTATTCATCTAAACACATCAATTGACAAAGCATCGGCGACAGCATTACTAGTACGAGCAGTTCTATGCCACATACATGATGCCAATTATAGGAGATATTCTACGCATTTTTCGGTTGAAAACAACATGATGTTATTGCTCCGGCTATAGAACTACATAGAAAAACTGTTTCTTTCCTATTCTTTATAACTCTGCAGAAAATGAAAGATTTGCTTCAAAAATTTGCTTCGACTTTTCTATGGAAATCATTTTGTATTATAGAAAACTGAAATATTTGTTCCTTAGTATTGTTCAATTTTTAATAGGATAATTTTAGATTTTTAATGAAAATCATATTATAAGAGAAAAAAACAAATTGATCTTATTACTTAACTTGTCATCATCAGCTTCCATTAGTCTGTTAGATAAGATTAGCAAAAGATAAAAAGACAAGATTTTTTTCTTATACTTACGGTTTCATCAAGTATTAGATAGGAAAATAAACATTGTTTAAAATAATTCAATGAGACATGACCCAATGGACCTAACGACTAATAATAATAATAATAATAATATGTGTACTTTCAACTTCTTTTGCCTTGTTGTAAATGTAGTCACTAGGATAATGCATCGATGCCCGCTTTATCACTGCTTCTCATATCAACTTGACGCCATTCTTATTCTTTTTTCTCTTTATGAGTTCGTCGAACGCTCTCTTTTTGCTTTTCTTCCATATTTTTCTTTCAAGCCTTAATGTTAGAAGCGAAACGGAACAGAATAGCTTTTAGAGTAAAAACAGTGATAGTAGCGAAAAGAACGTTTCTGAGAAGGAAAAGGAAAG